TCGATTCGATCGTCGATCCGATTCGATGCCGGTGTTTGCGGTTGGTTGGCTGGGCATGTTTGAACGAAGTCGAAGATCAAGTTTCGTCCTGGCTTAAATGAACAGACACCAAGAAAGGGTTGGTGCCAGGTAAGAAACAATAGAAATGACAACTTGCATGTGCACGCTCCTGTTCAAGTGATACTGAAGGCAACAGCACATTTTGGGGATGGAAGACTGCTAAACCTCATTGCCAAGCCTAGCTTTATCTGTGGAATGTTCCCCTCCGTCAAAGCCATCTGTACCACCGGAGGACAGTGACCAGGATGACCTCGAGATCATTATGACTGAATATGCCTTAATGCGTGAACTAAGCCGACTGCCTGGTGTAAGACCGTTAAGCACTTGAGACTTGCTGCTTTGTCATATGCGGCCTGGTTTGATGTCCTCGATGGAACATTTTGACCGCCAGCTCCGTGCTGCGCAAGGATGTCGTCATTGGTTAGCACAGTTGCTTCATCACACTGCAGTTCAATTGTTCAACTAAAGACTGATGCATTTGGTTCTTAGTCTTACGCAGCTCCTGCACTGCACAGGCCACAAGAGAGTTTCCAACTGAATAGCCATCCCCAGCCTCGGATTGCATTTTGGTCACTTACAGGCCACGCCAACATTGCGAAAACCTATGAGGCCTGTTCATAATGGATGCTATGGCTAACCGTTGGATTAGCAACTAGTAACTAGTATGTGTTAATTATTTGTGCGACCGCAGATGCTGATGCTGTAGCCTCTGCCTGAGCTGATGTCCTAGCCTGGGCAGGTTTTTCAGGACAGCAAGTTCTTCTACCTAGTGAATGCCCCTCGACAGAAATGAGGTCCAGAGTGTGCAGATTGCCTGGATATTTGCAATTGCATACCAGGGCAGACGCAGCTTGATTTACAAACATGATGGACATTGTTCCGCAATTTCGAGGAACCTTATTTCGGAGGGGACCTCACTAAACTGGCGAAGCGCGCTCACGACCAGGGCGTTTGGATGAGCTCCGGGGTTGCACGTGGAAAAAGACAAGCGTTCATACATTGCGTTTAGACTTCGCGTGCGTCAATGACTTGCGGCCATGTGTTGCCCAGTCGCTAAGGCGAAGAATATTTCAGAGGCATCTTCCATCAGTGCCTTTCAGGCCTCCAGCGTGCAGTGAAGAAGTTGGGATTGAGACCATGATGTGCAACGCGTAGCTGCGGCGTTGAGGGGTAGGACGGAGTAGGACACAAGAGGATTCTTGACTCATGAACGGTTCGATCACTTTAGCACTGCTCACTGCTCGTTGATGTAATTGTTGATGTCATGTCCGACCTGCGAGTGCCATAGTATGAATGGCAAGGTGTCGTTAACACACTCCATACTTACTTTTCACAATGTCATTTGGTCAGGTTTGGAGTTTCTCCACAGCCAAGCCATCATGCATTGCGACATCAAGGACTTAAATGAATGGGCATCGCTCCAGTTGACTGAGCTCTCAGGTTCAGAAGTATCCAACGCTCTTTTCCGTTGTGTTAGTTCTCAGTCTCTCGGGACACACCAGATCACTGAAGGAGGACAACATCATGGTGGTGGCTTCTGATCTGGAGGACACTGCTTCACAGCATAGCATGGCTCTACATGATCTACGTTGAGATATCTCCTTCGCGCTTTATTTGGTTGCGCCTAGCTGGCAGTCATCTCAGCATGGGACAATCTAATGTTGACCTGGCAGTACCCGCGCATCGTGCTGATCGACTTTGGCCTTGCGATGGCCTTCTCGTCTCGTCATCGTGGTTGCGCGGGGACACCAGGCTAGACACTTGGAAAGCGCACAGAGCTTGAAGTGTATGGCCGCATGGTGCTGTGCGGTCGGTCCTTCTCTAGGTTATATCCCACCAGAAACTTGGGAAACGACCTGGTGGTACCCGCGTCCTGACCCCAGTCATGCCCAGGACCAGCCTCAGGTTTTGTCTATGCCCTCCACGTGTTCCTGCGCCCGTTCCTGCCATGCCATGTGTTTGAGCAGGTGGCTTGGGAAGCCATAGTGCTTGTCTCAAGCAGGCCCCAAAGTCTACCTGTAGACTTCCAATCCAATTTTCCAGCGCTCATGGCTGTCACCGAGTGCAAGAACGTTTGTTACGTGGCTTTGGGTAGCAATATGGACGATCGACTCCGCCACCTGAGCCACGCAGTGCAGTCTCTCAAGAGGCTGACTGGAGTGAAACTGCGGCGGACCTCCAGCTTGTATTCTACCAAGGCACAGTACGTGAGTGACCAGCCGGCATTCTTAAATGCAGTGGTGGAGTTGGAGCTGTTTGAGGAGCGGCTCTCCGACATCCAAGAACTTCTGACAGATTTCAAGCGGATCGAGGAGGAGCTTGGCCGCAGACCCGGGATTCGACGGGGTCCCCGAGTAATCGATCTGGACATTGTTGCGGTCGGTCAGCAAGTGCTTGATATTCGGGAGGGCAAGTACCCTTTGCACGTCCCGCATGCTCTAATGCACGAACGGGATTTTGTGCTCGTCCCAATGTCCGACCTTTGCCCAAACTGGCGTCATCCCTTGCTGGATGGCCAGCCTAGCGTGTTTGAGCTCATAGAGAACCTAAAGTCTGCAAGTGGGCCTTCACCAGAGGGGGCAAGTCTTGCGGCGTGGCCAGTGCAAATGCTGCCTGGTGCCGGTGGCCTTTGCGGTATGCAGGAGGGTCAGCTCTGGAGGCGAGGTGAGCAGACATTGATAATGGGAATATTGAACATCACGCCTGATTCCTTCAGCGACGGTGGAGATCACTTTGGCCAGGAGGATGCTGTGCGATCTGCCTCTGAGATGGTCGCTGCTGGTGCTCACATCCTGGACATCGGAGGTGAATCCACGCGGCCGGGTGCGGCGGAAGTCTCCGTGGAAGAAGAGATTCGACGTGTAGTGCCCGTCATCGAAGGCGTTTTGAGGGGGGGTGACCCTGCAAAACACACTTGTCTTGTCACTAGTAGGTTAGCCTAGCAAGAACAGTCAAACAAGCACCAGCTGTGGCCCAGACTTCCTTGACACTCCACACCAGCGTTTTTGGGTCAGGCATTCGGAAGGCAGGCCTTCAGACCACCATCAGCATCGACACGTGTTTTGGCACGCAAGCAGGCGCAGAGGAGCAGAGTAGCACTCAGAAACCAGCTTAAAGTTTGACCTCCTCAGACATGACAAACATGCAGACGCATGCAGATTTTTACTGAGGCGTAAAGCGGCCGTCGCCAAGGCGGCAGTGCTGGCGGGCGCAGACTGGATCAATGATGTATCCGGTGGAGAGTTCGATTCCGGCATGCTTGCTGTGACTGCCGAGCTCTTGGCTCCCATTGTCCTTATGCACATGAGAGGAACCCCTGACACGATGAACTCGATGGCTACCTACACCAACGTTGTGGATGAGGTCACGGATCATTTGGTCAGTCGTCGCGCAGCGGCCGAGGCTGCTGGGGTGCCCAGCTGGAACATTATCCTTGATCCCGGCATCGGTTTTGCTAAAAATCTGGACCACAATCTCAGCTTGCTACAAAGCTGCGCGAGTCTGATGGCACGAGTCGCCCCCTCCCCAGTTCTCATCGGCGCGTCCCGGAAGCGCTTTCTCGGGACCATTCTTAACGAACCAGACGCCAAGAAGCGCAGCTATGGCAACGCTGCTGTGACAGCCATTGCCATTGCAGGCGAGGCAGATGTGATCCGAGTTCATGAGGTAAGAGAGATGTCACAGGTTGCCCGAGTTTGTGACAGGGTGTACCGCGGTGGCCAGCTTGGATCCCGGCTATAGGATTCAAAAAGTGACTCTTTGCATGCTGGGGGATCGGAGCGGTACTTACCCTGCTGTGCCGACCCACAGTAGGCATAATATGCTGCTACGCGTTCGCACCTTGTTCAAGAAATTAGCGAGATTTCTTGGAGAGGGTTCTTTCAAATTCAATCTTGCCTCCACGGGCCTTTTTGACGCTTTTCTCACAAGGTGGTGACATCTTCAGCCTGGGCATCACCATCTTTCAAATTATGATTGGACAGGCCAGAAACTGCCGAGCAGTAGTTCAGATGTGCGTGCCAAGCACATCACGCATGGAAGTGCCTCGAGTCAGGAATGTGACTCCTTAAGGAAGAGTGAATCAGGAAAAGGAGGCAAGTTAGCAAAATGACCGCATCTTAGCTTCATGTCGTAGGAGAAGCAATTTATTCAGAGCCTTATTACCCCAACATACTCTCAGTTCCAGAGACAGTTTCAGAGGCACCGTGGTTGCCTGACGATCAAAAGTGTTGTAGGGAAACTCCCTGTCTAGCGATTCAAGAGAAACAGTGAACTCGAGGAATTCGAGCAGAGATGAACGTGCAAGCACCCCTCTTCGCTTTGCTTGCAGCAAACAGTTGAACCAAGTAACGGAGAGAAACTCAAGCAGGTACGTACATTCAACACGCAAAGGCCACGTTGCCTTCGCCCTGCAATCGATGACAGAGGAAAACTCAACTGGAAACATGAGCAAAAGTTAGAGATGATGTCAGGCTGCTCATCGATAATACCCTTTAAGACCGCGGGACACACTGAAAAGCGCCACCCGCAAATTTGCCCGATCGGAATGTGTTTGCTTATTACTGGGCAAGGCAATTCGACACCCTAAATTACAGAAACACCCAAAATGATGAATTGGTACTGGCCCAAGCCAAATCCCAGTGAAGCGATGTCCTCCGCGTCACGACCACGACCCAACCATGAAGTTTTGACAACGCTCACATGTCGAAGCCAGCCTGTCCCACCATGCGATCAGAAAAACCTTGAGAAAAGGGAAGCCCGAGTAGCTACGAGGCACCTCTCCACCCTCCGTTTCTAGGAGAACGGCAACATGGGGAAACTGGAGTGGAGACACAGCCTTTATTCAACGCTGCCCTCTTCAACTTGGGCGTGCAGCACGCGGTGAAGCAAACGGAAAGTCGACCTTTTTCTCGATTGGCCTCTCTTTCTGATTGCCGCTCCGCTCTTGCTTGCCCAACTCATGTCCGCTGTTCACATCTTTTCATGCTTTCCGACTCTGGCCTCCTGTCGTCTTCCTCTTGACTCGCGCTGTAATGATGGAGCATGCCTGCAGACCAGTCGGGGGACGAATGCGAGCGGAGCCAAAGGGAACGTGTAGCTCGAAAATGAAGTTCACCTATGCTCATCTTCTACGTTACCTTGCCTGGAGATCTGCGACAGGTCCCAAATGGCGACGTCCTGGGCATCCTGCAAACTGAAGGTGAGCGAGAGGAGAGCCGCACAAGGGACAAGCTAAAGCTTTTGGATGAGCAGAGCCCGCATCAGAAGCATCCCGTTGAGGAAGACAAAGCTGCTGGATTAGTTGCTTGGCTTCTGAGTCTCATCCACTTGATCGGATGTTCTTGGATTTGATCCCAAGCCATTTACTAAATTCTTGCAGAGCATTGTTGTCGTCACGCCGCTAGCCACTGATGCCATGCGCACAAGAGTGAAGAGAACGCATTCTGCAGCTGGAGCACTAGATTCAATGCACCCGGGAGCTCACCAGTCATGACGTAGCTGGCTGATAAAGAGTGACGTTAGGCCGATGGGCTCGTGCTTTGCTGTGGATGGGTGCGCACTTGCACCCACACAGCACCGCTTGTCGATCATGTGTAATGACCGCTACGAGCATCATGATTTGACTGTTTGCATACGTTGCTCCAGTTTGTTCGCGCCCAGCCTGATGCTTTTCAAGAATTGTGTGGTGAGAGTGTGGTCCGCATAGAGGCAACTTTGCGATGCCCTTGGGATCCCTTGGTTCTTTCTTTCATTGAGCTACCAAATTGCATTCCGGCAGTCGGCACTGCAGGCTCTCCAGCTGCCATGGGAAAGCCTCCCTCCGAAGATGCCAGACCTGAAGGATCTCCTGGCGTGCATGCTGCACAGGTGCGAACCCCGCAGGAGTTGAAAAGGGTGCCCGTATATGTGTTGGGGGTTTTGCTAAGATGCTTTTACATTGTACAGCGGGTGGTGCTGGGCAGGCAGACGGCCAGTGACAACCAACATTCATGATTCATGTCGGGGACGCACGCGCGTTCTCTCAGTGCCAGGAATATGGAGCAAAGGCCCAGCGCGAATATGGCCAAGCAGCACGCTTGGCACGGAACTCACCGAGACTGGGGTTGGGTTAGTACACCCTTGGTCCTGGATTGCAGGAAGCAGGCTGCCATCAGTGCCAGGTTCGCAGCCGACAGCGATGAGAGCCTGCCAGCTGAGACCCTGGCGGCCCTTTTAGGCTGCGCAGCTCAGTGCCGGATCGATTGCAGCTCCAGTTTCTTCGGCATCCTGAGTAAAGATGTCTTTCCAGAGTCGAGCTGATGTTTTGAGCCGCTTTCACTTGCCAAACACATCCGGACAACACTGCTTGGTCCAAGCAGTCTGCTTTCTTGCAGGAAGCTCCGCCGCAGAGTGCTTGCGCGAGCAGGCGAGACGGCTAAATTGAAAGCAGCCACCGTGATGGAGCTTGTTCATGCAAGCTGTATGGGCAGAATTTTGCCCCCCGACAGAGCTGATACCATGCAGCTCACTCTTGGCATGACTTAGACATGACGAGCTCCGGACTCAGCCGGGCAGCACCTCTTCAGCTGATTTCCAATCGCTCATAGGTCGTCTACGAGCTTGCCTTCAAGAACAACTTGAAGGACGTGCTACTGAGCAAGGTTCGCGTTATGTCTATGGTAGACCAGAACTGAGAGTGGTCTCGACCCAGCCCGGCTCAACAAAATGCAACAGCAAAATTTGCCATTCACATGCACGTTGTTATCCCAACTGAGGGCTGGTCATTGCGATGGTGTGGTCCTTCAATCCTGCGTTTTTCGTGTCATCTTCTCACAAAACTTGCACTCAATCCTGCCAAGCCTTTGACTGCAGAGAAGAGTTCGTGCCTGAAAGCCTTGCAAAGGGAAGCACAGTCCCAACAGCAAGGCTTCCCCGAGATGTGGAGTGCCAGGAGCTCCGGGGTTTGTATGCTGATCTCCAGGGGGTTGACCGCAGCAATCGGGGCAAAGCCATGACCTTGGCTCTGTGCTTCGGTCATCATGAGCCATGAGACATGCTGTGTGAAGTACTTGGCTTGCGTGCACGAGTTGTACTTGGCTTGTATTTCATGGCTGGCAGCAAGATTCTGCCTCAATTCCTACCAGGTACCCAAGCAGCTTCTTCTTCCAGTGTTTTCGAGACATAGCGTCAAAGCAGGCTCTTGGCACCTGCTCCCGCCTTGCATGTGTCGCATTTGGTCACACCTTGTCACAGCAAGCACCTGCCATGATCTATAACGAGCATGCTACAGTAGACTCCTACACATTTCAGTTCAGGCATGGCAGCTGCCACAGTGAAACTCTTGCAAACTTTCAAATTATGTCATGCATTCGTCTTCCTTCCCTGCCTGGCCAGGCTCGGCTCACGCGTTTGCGGAGCGCGCCGTGACGTGGCACGAATGTTGAGAGAGCCTGGCAGAGCCAAAAGCTGGTATAAAGAAGTACATCCGGCAACAGCTGCCTGCAGGATATCTGAGCCTGGAGAGGAAGGAAAGTAGTCAGGAGGCAAAAGCATGATAACTTGCAGATATGCCCATTGTGCTGTAAGTCTTCCCCACAGGTCAAGTTCGAGGTCGCACGTTTTCTCCCGCACCCATGCTGATCAGCCGAATGTGCTGGTCGTTGCTAGTAACCCCTGACATCTCGACCACTCGGCCGTGCCATACGAACACACACACACACAGCACAACAGCTTGCATGCGCCCAGAAGCACGAAGACAGAGCCGCAGAGCTAATCCCCAAACCGCGTTCTCCAAGGCTGACGCGAATGGTGAGGCCACCCCGAGCAGCCTCGATGTTTATGTCTTACTGTACACAATTACTCCTATGAGTCCAAACAAGGTGTTTGCTCTCACATGCTGCAGTGCCTAAGAAGCAGGAGCCCAGCCAGCCTCCGTGCCTTCAGCAAAGCGGACGATAACTCCATTGTGCGCAGGTTGACTACACCGCGATCGCCAAAGAGGTCCTCAAACTGAAAGAGAACTACACCGTGCAGTTTCTTCAGGTCTTCCTGTCTGTCTTGACCTGGAGTTGAATCCAGCATCAATTTGTAGGGCCAGTGGCTTTCCTTTTTATCTGCAGGACCTTTTCCAGGAGCTGGACACGGACGGCGCAGGCCGCCTCTCAGAAGCACAAGTCCGTCAGCTGCTGATTCTTGGCAGCAATGTGTGAAACCTAGTTCGAAGTTCACGGAACCAATTTGATAGCAGACGTTTGTGGAGCGATCCACAAAAAAAAGCCTGTACCATGCAGAAGACGATCATGCATAGAATCAAGCTCTACCCGGCTAACCCGTGCTGCTAAGTCGTGCAAAAGTGGCTCAGGACCAGCAGCGCCGTCGAGACGCTCGCTTGCACGGTGTGCTGGCAGACGTCGCAAGTTCAACCAGAGCTTCCTTGCAGCTTTTTTGCGTGCATGCCGAAAACAGCGGGCTTTCAACTGAAGGCTTTCACAACTGCTACCTTCCGCCAACAGAGCAGCCGCGGATTTCTGATAGGATTTGTAAGACTTCTTGGCCTCAGGTGTGATGGGGATGATGTGGCGGGCATGATAGATGAAGTCCCATTTGATGACGAGGGCTTCGTCTCCTTCAGCTCCTTAGCAAAACAGTAATGTAGGATTCATGCGCTGGCTCCCGACAAACAAAACAGGGTCCCCTTAGAAGGCGCAGGTCCCCCCCGACGATGAACTTGAAGATGAAACCAATAGGACCCAGGTTTGCGAGGCTCGGTAGCTCAGCTAAAATGACTCAAGTCCAGAGGCCTGCCGTGCAAGAAAGGGTTCGGGGCATTTCGGGGCAGGTACTTCAGACAAATCAGGACCTCCAAACCATTCTTGATTTGCAAAAACCTCCCCGCTAACTTTGCACAACTCAGAACCGCACACTACTCGGGAGTCAAGGTTCTGTCACAAGTCAGCTCTTGATTTGAGAACAATTGGGCCTGGAGTGCTATTATCATTATTCGCATTATTATTAGTACCATTACCAGTAAGTCTGGCATCACACATGCAGCTTTGCAATTTGAATCTCTATGAGTCTTGCTTTCGCTTGCCACTGCTACCTTCGGCGTGCTTCAATTGGAGATCATCTGCCTTTTGTATCAATATGCAAGGTACTTTCAGGGATACTATGCTGGCAGATGGCCGCATTGCCCGGCGATCGCGTGTTGAGCGTTATGCCTGCGGCCCGGAGTGCCCGCACCTGTGCGTTGCCATGTGATGCAATAGAGTAGAATATATTCAAGGTTTTTCCATTTTGCTTGGGAATGTTTGGGATGACTTAGACGATTAGCATTTCATAGCTTCTATCATCAAATGGGGGTTGTCCGAAAACCCGTGTCTACAGTTTATATAAACGAAAACCAAGCATAAGATAATTTGTCAAAAACCTTGCGCGTGCAAGCCATGCGCATGCACGGCGCAAGGTTCGCGGAAGCGTTTGACTCACGAACCATGGCTCAGCGCAAGCCATGATATCAATATTGAAAATTCAAAATTATTTTCAATTGCGCGAAGCTTCGCGCAGGTGCGCGTAACTGGTAGCCTCCAGCCCATTTTGGGTCCCTAGCAACGACGGGACGACATTTTCGAAGGATTTGGTTATTTGTCAATTTGACCATTACAGCTTCGTAATAAGACGATCCCTCAAAATTTATCATAAATTGATGAGATTGCACGAAAATAAATTTGAATTAATTTGCAGACGCGCTAATAATACGCAAACCCATAATTCAAGATGAAGATATATTGGATAAACCTCCACTAAAAGAAATATTGATGACATTATTTGCATGCAAAATATTCGAATGATATTCTCGTGAATAGAAATTTAATTATATGATTTCTGGACGATGCTATTAAGATTATGGATTCGATTTTTTTCTCCGATTGATATATAAATATTGGAAAAGATGATATTATTTATTTATTTTCTAAAAAAGATATGACTTCTGAAATAGATAGATATGATATTTGGATTATTTATATCATAGATTTCAAAAGAAATGAAATGAATTGTCTAAATCAATTATTTGCGAATATTTGGTTCGTATACGATTGAGCTGTTTTTTAAGATATGATAAAGAATTGAAAATTTCGGAAATTATAGATTCTATAGAAATCGTATAGTCCGCTTAAATATTTGTGATTTTGGCTCTGGATGATTCTATTAGAAATGCTGGAAGATTTAATTATGTGGGCTTGAATTCTGAAATATTTTTCTGATTATTTGGATTGAGGCTCGATTAAGTATATATATAGATTTGAGATCAGGATGCAATATTTTTTAGAATTTTCAAATCGATAATTTAATTTAATAATATAGACCGATCGCTTACGGCCGTTTCGCGCACGCGCGGAATAGTCTTTCTGATTTATTTAAAGAAATATTTCTTACGGACTCCCGGAGATTTTAGAATTTTTCGGAAAAATTGAAGGCTCTGAAATATCTAAAATTTTGGTGAGAGATGGCGTTATTAAAAATCTCGGAGAGCATTGCTCGCGCGGCCGTTGCTTCCGGAGTAATTTTCCGTGAAATTTGTTTCGTTCTGGTTATCAGCGCGGCTTCTCAGCGGAAAATTTAAAATCGATATAGAATCAATATCTTTTAGAATTCTCAAATTTCCTATATTTATCTATGGAGAGGATCTATACGATCCCTCAAATTGTCGTGAAGATATTCCTAGAAAGATTAATGAGACGGAAAATTCGGATTGGATATAGATGCCTCATGATCCGAAATATCTCGAGATTGAAAAATCATTTCTTTTTCTTAGGTTGTCTGTGCGGCGGCTCGGCGTAGAATTGAGGCGTGATTAATCGTCAGGATTCAGATATGATTTATATAATTTATCTCTCTTTGGTCGTCGGCGCGGCTATTCGGAGGAGCGTAGATCCGGGACCGAATATCAATATTTTTCAGGATTGATAGGTTGATCGTATTTTCATAGAGATATATACGTGCCCTCCTGAGTTGTCGCGCAGATAATCTAAGAGAGATAAATGAGATAGAAAGATCGGATTGGATGTTGGGGCGAACGCGCGATGAAGAGATCACGCGATCAAAGAATCGCGCTCCCAAAATTCTCCCAAGATTTCGAGCTATTTCTCTCTCTTCGGCTATCTGCGTGGCGATTCGGCGGAACGTGAAGGTCCGGGGCAGAAATCTAAAATCTTTCTGAATCTATATATCATATATATACGATCTTAATATCTTGATAATTCATCGACCTTCATATTGGATCTTATATATAATTTGCTCATCGGATTGCTTATTATAGATTTTCTCAAATAAATATCTTCCGTTATTCTAGATTGAAATTTTATTAATGATTGCATATAATGATTTTATCATAAGAAAATACGCGCGTATAGATATAAATTAATCATAAATATTTGCGGTGAATTATATTCGATCCGCCGCGTAGATAATTTGAGAGAAATAAATCAGCGCATAGATTTGAGAGGATGGGGAGAGAGGGCCGAATGATTAATAATATCTTGATTCATATCTCTTTCTTTGATTATTTATATTGAGATCGAGAGAGCGTATAAATCCGCCACGGAAATATAATATCTTTCCGAATATATATATTGATCGTTTTTATCATATGCGATCTTATATATGAATTTTTCATCTTTTCATATAGAATTTATATTTTATTCATTCCTCGGATTTCTAAATAGGATTTGGAGATCGAAGAAGGATTTAAGGTAGGATTTAGTCCCAAAAATTCCTAAATCTTCGACCACGCCGGATCCCAAATTCTAATGAATTATAAGAATATAATTGATTTTATTGGAAAATATCTATATCATTGATTTTCAAATATTTATTGATTATTCTCTAATAAATTAAGAAAGATATTTTACGAAAAATATCTTCAGGATATTTTTCGTAAATTTATTTTTCCTTATCAATGATTATTAGACGTTAGGTCGCCGCCCTGCGCAGGCCGGAAGCGATAGATGAAATATAGCTGCGAAATATCTCTAGGATTCAAATTTCATTGAATTCTCTCTCGTATGTCGTCGACGCTAGCATTTTTTCTAGAGGATATTGAGTATTTGGGCGTTCGGCGGGCGGCGGCAGATTTTAATCTATGATCTGGGGACCTGATATCGCGTTTCTTTGCCTTCCGCCACGGCAATATGCGAGATAATTTGACTTATTTTCTCTATATAAATCCCACATTTGATAGAGGGAAGAAGCTATCAAGACGAATATCTATTCTATTAAATATAGATTTCTTCTGAATTATATATATTATTAAATTGATTGCATAAAATTTCTCGGATTTTTTAGCAGATCAATTCTCGTGCGCCCAAGATGATTAATTTTATGAATCGATTTTTTTCATAGAGCATTCGGATTCTAATATATATTTGATAGCAAGGATAGAAGGAAATATAGAATGAAGAATGATCATGATCGTCGTGGCGGTCGTGTCGATCGGCATGATGAATGGGAGGGGAGGGGGATAGCGGTCGGTCATAGTAGGGGGCGGCGGAGGGGCAAGGATAAGATATTTAGAAGCGATCAATAGATCTTCGATATATCAAATTTTTATATCGTTTGAATCGTGGAGATGCGCAATAATCTCTGATATGTCTTCTATAGAAATGATTTGTCAATTAGATATGATTATATAAATTTGATTGACGATCGTGAGATATCGAGATATCGACAGGAGATATTGAGATAGAGGCTAATGGGTGGCGGTTGTGGTGGGCATGTTGTCCGTGGCGTTGCGGGCGGCGGGGATGGATTCTGAGGGACGGTAGTATGGCAAGATCGCTCAATCACGTAATAATATATTTAGAAAAGATCAATAGATCTATGATATGATCTAGCGATTCAAGATCATATAGAATAAATATGATATATGAATCGTTTTGATAGCTAGCATTATTTGATATCCTTGCCGTATGATATCGTATAGATATCGATAGGGTCGGCGGATTTCTCTAATATCTTATATCTTCGAAATTAATCAATAAAGATTTTTTTTTATTGAATTGATTATATATGAATCGTAATTAATATTCATTTATGAGGAATTAGATCAGAAAATAAGATATGAAATATATATAATATAAAACGATAGGAATATTATATAGCGCTATCCTAGAATTTTCAGGTGAAAGGCTTATAAAGTCCAAGAATATTAAGAAATATTTCCTCCAAATATATATGATCGTAGATGATTAGAAATAAAGATATTATAGAATGATAGGAATATTGAAAATCGATATCTTCAATTTAATATCTATTATCTAATAGGAGGAATTTTGATCGTCATTCATATATATAATTCTATATGAATATATAAAGAAATTGAAAAATCAATATTTTAATGAATATCTAGTGAAACGATTTTTCAAATATATGAATGATTTTCTTTCATTTCTATCTAATAATTTCTGAATTAAGAGAAAAACGGCAGAATTTATATGAAAAATATTGGAGCAAATTTCATTTTTTTCGAATTATGAATATATTATATATATATATATCTAAGCTATTGAATTTGATATATCTGAAATGAAATATATTTTCGGAAGATTGAGAATTACGATAATATTCTATCGATAAACGAATTGACTGCTTACGAGATATCAGAGAGATTTAAAAAAGATAATTAGGAATTGATAGGATTTCTTTTACGAATATATCTTGATAATTTATAGAAAAGAAATCCTATGAAATATGAAATATGATTTTTCGTTATATAATAGTCTTCTCTTGAAAGAAGAATCGTAATATAAGAAAAGTCTATGAATATAGAAGAAATATTGACAAATATCTTAGAATTATTGAATTATTCAAAATTCCTTTTCTTTCGTTGATATTATAGATTTCAACTAATTTGATGAGAAATCAATAGATTTCAAAAGAATATGAATTCTATCAAGATATATTTATTTTTTTGATTAGATTTTGATGAATAATGATAGATTCTTGATTATCTAAAAAATTGAATTCATAATTCTATTTCGATTTCTCATAATATATTATAGAATCTATTAATCTAGAATTCTCCAGATATCTAATGAAAGAATCTATAGAAAGAAGAGATCTTATTTTTCATAATATGATTTTAGATCTATTCGTCCGAATAGAATTCAGATCTAAATTATCTCTCTTTGGAGATGAAGAGATTGCAGATCTTGTCATGATTACGAGGTCATCTTGGGGTTGGATGAGAGGGGTATGAAGATTTGGAATAAATGAATCTTCATATCTAGAAATTGAATATAATTCTTTTCAATATACGATATCATGAGATATGAGATTTCGATCTAATAAAATCTCGAGATATCTCAATAGATTTGATATCTTAGAAAAATTTTATCTATATCTATATTATAAAATCAAATAATGATTTATAAGTAGATTTCATTGATATTCCTAAAATATTCAATAGAGATATATATAGAGAAGAAACGATCCGCAAATAATAAAGAGAAGAAATAAGAAATATATCGAATTTTATTCTGATCTTAAGAAAATAAGATCTAGATATCCCAAAGATAATATATATAATAATATTCTTATAAGATAATCTGAAAATATCTTCAAATAATTGATCTTTTCTATAGATTATTTCAAAAATGAATCGATATCCTTCCAAGATAATCTGAAGATATCTCCAAATAAACGATCTTTCTGATATATTTTTTCAATGATGAATCGAATTATTTTAGATTTTATCATTTCAAATTCATTATCTTCTCCTCATTTTTTATATTTTAGAAGATCTATGAAATCTATTTAGAAATATCATAAAAAATGAATATATATCATTCAATTAAATCGGAAATATTTCGATATAGAATATATATTATAAATTAGAATTCTATCTAATATTTAGATTATGAAAATAGATATCAAATATCTAGATATATCTTAATGATATCTAAATAATATCTTCTTCCAATCAAATTTATGAATAAATCATATATGAGAAATCAGAGTAAAAAATTAGATTAAAATTAAATCAATATAGATAATTAATTTTCAAAATCTTTCTGACTTTAATTAATCTCTATGAAAAGAATTACTCTTCGATCGGGTATTCTTTATAATTTCATGCAAATCTTGATTATTAATAGGAGAAATTCAATATTAATATCCCTTTCAAATATTATTTATCGATAGGGGAGATCTATCTAAGATGCGGTCACTTCTGGGAATAAGAATTTTTGCACGAACTCATATATGCATATATAGATTAGCTTATTCCTAGAATTATGAAATATATGAGAAATTCGATTAGGAATTTGGATCCAAGATTTGGGATTTCAAATTTAAAATCTAGAATCTCAATTTTATTTAGAATCTGATTTTTTCGAAGATTTAGATTAAATTTCTTAATTCATATATAGATATAGTCTCATCCTTAATTTCATTTTCGTTATATAAAAATATTTGAAATGAATATAGATTTATAATCCGATTCGACTATCAAAATCTAATCTTATTTCCTAATTTTCTCTAGATATTATGAGATCATTATTATATAATTATCATTATATAGATTAAAAAGAATTCCTTTAGATTAATAATAATCTTATTCCAATTCCGAAATAAAATATCTTTTCTTAGATGAATCTCCATATCCCATTCAATATGAATTAGAAAGAAAACTAATTATAGAATATCTAGAGATGATAAATTTCATATCATATCTCATTTGATGATAAGAAGGTTTCATTTCATATGAAAAGATAGATAGAGAAGATCATTCAATAATAGATATATCTCATGAAATATAGCATTTTCTCATATTAGAAAGACGAGGAAGAAGATATTAAATTCAAAAAGATAACGAAAATAATCATTAAATATTCAAATTTGAAAATATGAAGAAATTCGAAGATTGAAATATTCATCAATTTTCTAGCTATAAAATGAGGAAATATATTTCTATAAATTAAAATTGTCCAAATAAATTTCAATATTCATAATATAATATCCAAATATCTGAGAGAACGAAAATCTAATTCATTTATGTAGATTTATAGAGAATTTCTAAATCAATTATTAATATCTGAAGAATTTCTTATAAAATTTATTCTATAAATCTATTAGAAATATTCTTAGAAAAACGTACATTTTTTGAAAAATCCCACGAGAAAATCATCTTATCTATATAAATTTCAGCATTCATGAAAATCAATGAAGCTCAGAGCAAGATATCCAGAAGAAATATATATAATTCATTGAAAATAATATCGTAATTCATTTAAAAAATCTAATTATCGATTCTCCTCTCAAATCATATAATATAACGAGAAATTTCGATAAATACAACGAAAGACATAAATATATAGAAATGAAATATATTTCTGATTTATTTATTTATAATCAACGTCATATAATTTCTGGATAAAATTATGATAATAATAATCGAAAATTTCATAAATTCATTTTTTTCTATCTCTATTTGATCATTTAAATTATATCCTATTCATCGAATTAATATATAAAGAAACGTATATAAATATTAACCTTATCAGCGAATTCAAACAAATACAAATTCTTTAAGGAATTCGTATACCTTCTTCTTTGCATTCGCATCATCGAATCCAAAAATGTCTCTCTAAGACTACGAATTAAATATAGAGATACTATCTAAAACGTCATTAGCTAATATGAAATATCAATCTTCTCAATTTCAAGAGAATTTTAAATCGTCATATTTTGACCTATCAATTTCAAGATGAGAAAATAATAGCTGATCATATATTTCATGATGACATCTTCTAGAATCTAAGATCAAATATCTTTATTCTAGATTAAATCTTATATATCTCTTTTATAATTTGATGAACGATCATATGATATGTTCATGATCTCACGCATATAAATTCTCAAAATAATTTTCTCATAATCTTCTGGTTGGAATAGACTAGAGTTGGCCCGCTGCGTACAATAGCGGAATATATTTATTTGAGAAAATCCTTCCCAAGAAATCCGGAGACCAAGCAATATACAAGATCGCACGTGAAACCCGATGAACTATCAACATTTTAAGACCGCCGCCCTGGTCTTCACGTTCCACCGAGCCGCCGCGCAGTCAGACAGCCCAAAGAGAGAGATATAGCTCGAAATCTTACCAGATTTTTAGTCACGCGGCCCTCCCGCATCCAGCCCGGTCTTTCCGCCTCATTTATCTCTCCTGGGCTATCTGCGCGGTAGCTCGGGGGAGCGCATAAATCTCCGTGAACAGACACGGCCAACCTATAAATTCTGAAAGATTTTGATATTCCGTCCCGGGTCTACGCGCTCCTCCGAACAGCCGCGCCGACAACCAAAGAGAGATAAATCACGCGGAACATATAAGATCGCACGTGAATCCCGACGAACAATCAACATATAAGACCGCACGTGACCAAAACCGGCCAACCGAATAGATTCTGAAAGATTTTGGATCTCCGCCCCGGGTCTACACCGAACCGCCGCGCAGACAGCCGAAGAGAGAGAAATAGTTCGAAATCTCGGGAGATTTCGGGTCGCGCCAGACACGGCCAACCTATAAATTCTGTGGTTCTCCGTCCCGGGTCGATGCGCTCCGCCGTGCAGCCGCGCAGACAGCCAAAGAGAGATACATCACGCGGAAAGCCGCTCCGGAGGCAAGGGATCTCCGAAATTTTTGGTCGCGCCGCCCGCGCCAAAAATCTGAGATTTTAGAGCCTCTAGCTTTTCCGAAGGGCTCTAAAATCTCCGAGATTTTAGAGCCCCTAGGGAGCCCGCAGGAGGCATTTTAAAGGTGAGCCGGAAAACCTAGGCCGCGCGCAAGCGAAATGACCGCAAGTGGCCGCGCCGTAATTTTGAGGTATAGTGAATTTATGGAGATCCTATCGCTCTATCGTCATCTTCATGAATCTTGCGAGTTTCCTCGAATAGAAGAAATCTTTAAGTGTCCACCTGGGCCCCTCCCCGTCTCTCTGCCTCATTTTTTTGTTTTCATTCACAATTTTTGGGTTCAATGCGGCATGCAAGGTTGCATCATTAGCGGAATTATGCGAGCGCTTGCCCAGCTAATTGTGGCATTAGCAGGTTCACTGCGTCACTGCAGTGCATAGACATGGGTTCTGCATGAGTAGGAAACAGCCAACCTCATACCTGGTCCCTGCATGTTTGGGCTTTGCCGCTTGGCTGAGTCTCACCAAGATTGCAGAATCCCGTCTATTCTCGTTTGCTAGTGCGAAGAAACAGTGCAACCCCAAAACATGCACTGGACAAAAAACCAATTGCGCCACACAGCTTGGGAGCTCGTGGATGAGCTTCCAAAATCTCCAGAAACATCGTACTCATCCTCAGATAAGTCAAGCCACATCCCGATACAACAGCTTCAGGCACCTACCTCATCGCAGAGCATGCGCTGGAAAAATCGCTAATAAGCCAAGATTCCTGGATGCCATTGCCCTGCAGCTCGTCTGAACGCGCGCTTTCCAGACAGGCTGCACTGAAGACCCACTCTTCAGCTCCATGCTGGATGCATCGCTGCCCTTGGCTGATGGTGGACCTTGTGCCAGCAGGCTGTGCAACGCTGCAAGGTGCCCGTTTTGCGCAGCCAGGTAGAGAGGCGTCTCACCGTTCTTGGCTGTGACGGTTTTATCGGCCTTGGCATCGAGAAGGGACCGCACCACTGACAGATGGCCACTGTTGGCTGCAAGATGCAGCGGCGTCATCCCTTCCACTGTGACTTGCGTGGAGGCCCTCGCTAGTAGCAAGCAATTTACGAGATCCACATTGCCTTGCTCCGCTGCAATGCACAGAGGTGTCTTCCCGTCTGCACGACAGGTATCTTGTGGCGCTCCACTTTGAAGGAGGCACTTCGTCACTGCAATGTTGCCGTGCTCAACAGCAGTGTGTAGAGCAATCATCTGGTCTCCTGTCTTGCTGAGATCTGCGTTCGCCCTGACCAAGCAGTTAATGATCTGAACATGGCCTGCTGCAGCAGCAACATAAAGGGGGGTGTGCCCGTCATCACCCCTTTGGTTTGCATCAGCTTCAGCCTGCAGTAAAGACTGCACGATTTGAATGCCCCCATGCTGTGCTGCATACTCGAGAGGCGTTACTCCGTTGCCATCTGCTCGATTGGGTTGTGCTCCGACCGATAGCAGCAGGCTGGCAACTTCCAAATGACCGTTTTGGATTGCCAGGTGCAACGGTGTGAGCCCGCTCCCACCAACAAGATCGCAATCCACCCCTGCGGTCAGCAAACGCTTTGCTGCTTGAAATTGGCCTTTCTGTGCGGCAATGTGTAGGGCCGTAGCACCTGAAGCGGTCTGCTTGTCCTTATCCGCACTTGCTTCCAATAGGTACTGAAGCATTCGGAGCTGCCCGGACTCGGCGGCTGTGAAGAGAGGGTATACTCCAGATTTGGTCGTCAAATCCACATTAGCTTTTCCGGCAATGAGAGCACCTGCAAGCACAGGGCTCAACCGCATGCTTGCAAAACAGTTCCGAGCCATAAGCACCGGCAAGCTACTTACATGAACCCACAAGGCATCATACGATTCAAGACATGTCTGAAATCATCTGTAAGGTTATTTAAGTGCACTGGCATTGTCATATAACAAGATGTTTGGGCATCGATGCCTGCGACCTGAAGCTGGCCCTTGACCACAGCGGAGTGCAAAGGGGTCAGCCCGTCTTGCGTGGCAATGTCGCAATCGGCTGATGCAGACAGCAGTTGCTTCACCATCTCCACATGCCCCTCCTCAGGTGGTTCATATATTTACTCCGGTTGCAGGTTTTCCCAGGTCCCTTCTTGGCCAGGTGTATCGGAGCCAGGTGCTAAGCGGAATTCGCTTAAATGGAATCTACATATTTCTGATGTTTTGCAGATCAGAGCTTGAACCACAAACTGGCAAAAACTGAGACTGTCTGCCATGCCTTCGGGAGAGAACAGGATGCAAGTATAAAATGGATTAGCAGCCCACAAGCAGATTCAGGTCGATGTTATGCAGTTGTGCGGTGTGCTCTTGAATTGTTTGTTCATTGCATCGCTAAACAAGGTGATCCCATATTACCTCACGCTGTGCAGAACGACGTCGTCGTTCAATACTGCAACTTCGTGCAACCAATTGCTTGAAGGCACAAGGGGGACAGTAATTAGTCAATGCCCAACGGGCACCTTTCCATGTCGCAAGGACTACCTCGGTTCATGTTGTTGGATAGCTCTGACATGGGGTGTCAACTTGAACACGCCAAGCGTCGGAGGCAGCGCACCAAATCGGAGTCGCGCCGCTGTGAGACACTCGGTCTTTATCCACGCCAGCCTGAAGAAGGTGCCGTGCGATGTAGACATAGCCAACTTCAGCCGCGCAGTGCAAAGGAGTCCTCCCATCGCAGCATAGCTGCTCCTTGTTAGCCCCAGCTTGCTGCAAGGACTGAACAATCTGCAAATGCCCGCCTTGCGCCGACACATGAAGAGGCCCCAACCCCGTGTCTCTGGCAATGTGCACATCTGCAGCAGCGCTGATCAGCAGCTGCACCGCACCTAAGTGCCCCTGCCTTGCAGCTGCATGAAGCGCCGTCACTCCGTGAATGTCCGGTACATCCAAATCAGCAGCTGCCTCAATCAAGCAGTGTACCACGTCTTGGTGACCGTTCTGGGCTGCAATTATCAGGGAGCTCGCTTTCTCCGGAGTCACTTGGTTCACATCTGCACCGGCCATGATTAAGCAATGAACCACTTCCACGTGGCCCTTCTGCGAAGCGGCAAACAAAGGTGAAGCTCCATTCTGCGCATTGCCATTGAGCTTTGCCCCAGCGGCCAAAAAACACCGCACAATTTCACAATGGCCTTTCTGCGCTGCGATTGATAGACTGGTGCTGCCATCGTCCTTTACGAACTCCGCATCCGCCCGTGCTGCAAGCAGGTAGCGTACCACATCCACATGGTTGCGTCTTGCTGCTGTGTACAAGGGCGTGATGCCAGCGCTTGTCGGCACCTGGCGAGCGCCCGCCTGAACCAACACACGGACACTGTCTAACCTGCCCTGCTCCGCCGCACAGTACAGTGCTGTAGCTCCGTGCTTGTTGGTTTTGTCTATGTCCGCGGACGCGTCGAGCAGGTGGTAGAGGATGTCCAAATTTCCACTCTGGCTGGCTATGTGAGCGGGAGTGGCTCCGTTGTGCTCGGACATGTCAGGATCTGCCCTAGCATCTAATAAGTGCCGCACAACCTCAATCTGATTCTCCTGGGCGGCGATGTACAAGGGTGTCGTTCCCCGATCTGTTGTTTTGTTCTTGTCAGCACCTGCATCAAGCATAGCCAGCACAACGTCCGCGTGCCCACCTTGGTTCGGATGCTTCCAAACAGAATTCGTCACGGACTTCCCAGGAACCCAGTCCTCGCCTAGCTGTTGTATAAGGGAGTAGAAATGCAAGTCAATAAGTCCTCCGAGCCGCACTCAGCGGCGATGTACAGCGGGGATACAGCGTGCTCTTTAGAGATATCCGGATTTGCACCAGCATCCAAAAGGCACTGTGCAACGTCCAAGTGCCCCATCTGAGACGCAATGAACAATGGGGTGGCTCCTGGAGAATACAAGGAAGGGCATGCCAGGCCAGGCTTGGTATCACATGCTGCATGCATCTATCTATGTTGAACAAGGTAACAAAGGGCCGCAACACTTATCCTAGTGTAGCGCGTAGTTAGACAATGGAATACACATGTCGCGGAACATCTCAAGACCAATGGTTAAGCTTGTAGAACCACTGGTCATCCCGAAAATATAATGATATGCTGATAGCCTGCCGCTCTAGCTTTAGCTACTGAGCTGCTCAGACAGTCCTTGCTCTTCAGGCCGGTTTTTGTCGGCTCTGGCATCAAGCAAGGACTGGACCAGGGCGACCTGTGCAACAGCTCCGCGTACCCAACACTTCCAATCGCGTTTCAGTAGCTATACACGCTGAAGCAGTGCCAAAACTGCTTCGGTGCCAGCCTGGCCCTTGTAAGCTGCCAGAAACAGAGGTGTGGCTCCACTTTCCTTCGCCTCAGTCAGCGGCCGCTTGCTAGCAGACACCATGTCATGGAAGTGAGTCCGAGCTGCATGATTCACGTCCACTCCGGACTTGACGAGAAACTGCACAACTTCAAGGTGGCCGCGCTCCACAGCTGCGTGTACCGCGGTCAATCCATGTTCTGCAGCCTTGTGCCTTATCAGCTCAAGCGAGCGTTCGGACCCTGCGGGCACGCAAATGTTTAAAGTTTAAAGCTGATAGCTACGTACGTTGTCCAGCTCAAGATCCTTGAGCTACAATTCTGCTACCGCCTGGTACCGTATCTGAATCATGTCCAGCGGCTTGTCAGCGCCAGCTTCCACCAGGACAATGACCGTTTCCAAGTAGCCCTGCAAATGGCAGGAAAGGTCTAGCATCCCTGTGCCGAAGCCTAAGCCCACGCCTGCTCCGCCGCGAAGAGCAGCGGCGTTTCACCTCTGGTGGTGGCCACGTCAGCATCAGCGCCTTCCTGCCCAAATGAAAAATGTATCTTGCAGTTCCCGATCATCAGCTCCAAATACAAGCCTGGCTTTGCAAATTGCAAGTCACAGCTGCCTTCAGAAGGCACCGTAAAACTTCAGTGTGACCGTTTCGCGCAGCGATATGCAAAGTCGTAGCGCCATCCTGTCAAATGTGGAAGCAGGTTTGATCTCTGGATCTTGGCGAGGGAAGGCCCGGCATGACCCTGTTGTACTATGGTGGATATTACCCCAACAAAATGGAGAATGAAATTGGAAAATCATGATATACATATCTCTCGTTTGCTGCTCTGGCAGAAGAAATGCAAACTGCGCAAAAGAGGAACCAAGCGTTAGACCTACGGCGAGATAGGCTTCTCCAGCAGCCCACCTCGCCAACTGACCCATCACCACTCTTGGATCCCAAGGCTGTCTTCGATGGCTCCTCGGGGCACCGCACAGCAGATTGGATTACAGATTTGGGATTTCTCCAGGAGTACCCTCCTTTTTGAGCTTTCTTGTCATTTGCTCCTAGAAGTTTACAAGGTCAAACTGGTGCTCGACCTGGACGCGCGGTCGAGCACAGCAACTCTTTTTTCAGTAGACAAGTGGACGAGACTCTATGTGCTCCACTCTACTTAGACTCTACTTCTACTTACAAGGAGAGTACTGAAAGTCGGATAGAGATCCGCTGATTGCGGATGTCCCAGACATAGACTTCTTGAGACATGCCCAAACAGCTGAATCCTTCGCACCGCTGCAGGCCGGCGCAGCCTTTCGACCCGGTATTGAGCGGGCAAAGGCTTTCAGAGCTGCCCAGGACGGCATTTTGCAAATATCCCAGGATGTTTACAAATGTTTCCACATTCAGCATTTCTTGCATTAATGTGGCGGAGATCATGGAGTTGGATAGGCGCCTCTAAGTTTGAAATAGAGTATAACAATACTTTCCAAGACAATCACTTTGCTTGCCTGTCTACACCTCGCGGAACATGGCTTGTCGAGTTGCATATTTGACGCATCCATGACATCAACCGCCATGCATGTCGCATGTGCTGTTGGCCGGTGTTCCGCGCAGCAACTGGCTGTAAGCCTCTGCATGACGTCAGCCACAGTGCTTCAAGGATCACAAACCCCCAAAGCTACAATGTAGCATGTCACGAGGAAGCTGTCCGTTCTGCACTGCAGGTATTGCTGATAGTCTTGGCTCGCAATGCTGGCTCCACGACATGAGGACATGAGATCTACACCGCTCGTGCATCCAACATCATTCTGTGTGCATACACATGCTAGGAGCTGAGACAAAACTAGATCTTGAAAGGAACTCCAGAGACGCTCAGTCTACTCGGTGAATTCATGGGGATGACCTGAAACATTATCCTCATCCTGATCAGCGTCCTCATCAAAATTAGCTAATGCCGCTTAGCATCAGCTTGAGCACTTGAAGTTCAACCCTGGCACAGAGGAACACGTTTTTCTGCTTATTGTAACGGTAGCTGTAGGATCTAGAGCCTTCTTCAGAGCTCTTGGCTGCCCTGAGGCTTGCTGGCTCTTTTCAGAGCGCCGCGTAACGGTGACGGACCTTTACCCAGACTTCTTGGCAAAACTTTGCCAGACGAGTGCTGTTGGCATAGGATAGACTTGGTAAAAAAAAATTGAAGCAAAACCAGACCTGGGCCTGGCAAAGTCAATGCCAACTAGAAGTCTGGGCACAGGCAAAGTCCAGACGGCTGGAAGATTTGCGCGAGTTGACACTGAGGCACATCTGAGCCCAGGATTCAGGGCAGTCCAACTACCTGCTGACCCTGAGGTACTACACATGCAACCTACGTTAGCTTCATGAAGCGTAGCCGTGCGGTCATCTTGGCGCTTCGCACAGACCTAGCCTCAGCACGATCCTCCAGCAGGGGATGGGCCACGGCAGAGGGTCGTTCCACACATCGCCTGGCTTTCGGCATCCATCTGCGCAGCCGAATTTCGATGAAATTGTCATGGGTGGCCCTCCGAGCAGCCATCAGGCATACACATCAAGTGATGAGTTCTGTGTGTACTTATGGAAGTTGCCTCGTGTCCTTGTGCATGTCTACTCCATGTCAGAGGGCCACCCTTCGGAAACTAACGAGCACACACCAGTGCGAAAAATCGTCCCGTGTGCAGAAATGCTATGCCAGCTGCACACCAAACCTGGTCCATGATGTTGCTAATGAACTAGATTAAACTCGTGGTGGTGACAGTGATACGGTTCGTGGCAGAGTCCTTCTGGCTTGCCATGGTGATGCCTACAGCTTCAAGGAGGACCACGGGGACACAAACAACTTGGAGCCTCCTGGTGTGGCAAGCCGCCCGGCTTTCAAGGAACGCAGATGGCTTGCACAGCAGTTTTGTCCCTTGATTTACCAGGCACTAACTACTTGGCTTGTCCAAGCAAAAGTCCTACATCTGCCACTTTCCAAGTTTGAGATTATCTTTCTGTGAGGGTTTGTCTTAAGTCCCAGAAGGATTGCCAGCCTTTTTGAGAGCACGGGTTGCTGCCAGTGGCATGGCAAGCGCCTTCAAAACCAGGTCAAGAGTCCAATGGCTAAGATTGGCAGGTGAAGGTTCAAGGAGTGAAGCCAGCAGGCCGCGTCTGAAGGCGCTTGCCAGCCGCTAAGGCCGGAACTATAGCTTATTGGAGTGCGTAGTCGCACACGCGGCAAAATAGGCGAAGAAACGATGGGCAGTCCTGCCCGGCCAGGCAGGGAACCCTCAGACTCAGGGTGTGAAAACGTCTGAAGACGATCTTTTGTACCGGGTAACCGGCACCGGTCCTGACAATCGCTGCAAGGGGCCCTCAGCCATGCTGTCTGCAACGGAGTTGAGCAGGAAAGAGAAGCCCATTACGTTGGGATTATAGGGCTATATAGGGAAAATGGAAAAGACAATGGAAGCTACTATAACATAATGGGGTAAATATCGGGATTCTATACCCTATTATACTCCAGTAGTTTTCATTTTCTCTTCCACTATCCCGATATAATCTTATAATCCCTATATAGCCCAGAAGTTCAAGACTCAGGCAGGCCGCCTATCTGGCACATCTCTTTGCACGAAGATTTCTCCTTGACCTCAAGCACCACTTTCAGCTGAACATGTCTACTACCCACAGCCTGGGTTGCTGTTAAGGAATTGAAACTAAGTTACCATAATGGGTAAATCTGGTAAAAAGATGGTTTCCCCAATTTAGTAACTTACCTGGACCCCAAAATTATGTAAAATAATTGCCTTTATGGGTTAGTATGGGTTAAGGGCTACTATTTTACATAGTTTTGGGGTTCAGGTACTACCCACAGCTGCAAGCCGAAGCTACACGGACATCCTCCTCTTGTCATCCTGTGTCACAGGCGGGAATCGGTGATAGGTGGTTCCTACAGCAACTATTCCAATTCTCGAGATTTCGCGTCCTCTATCGTCAACTTGGGCACTTTGGCTTCTCAAATTGCTGTTCACCAAAGAAACCCACAGCCACGTGCCGGGACTCTGTCCACACTGAGCACGCGGGAGTGGTCTGTTCAAGAGCTTGACGCAAGCTGTCCAGGGAGCTCGTGCTTCGGAGCATGAAGAGCACGTGAACCTCCAGCCGAACCACTGCGGTGTGGGCTACTGCCACTGCGCTCTCAGGTCTCATGTTGAAAGCCCAAGCTGTCTTCCGTCTGTGTCTGGCTTGTCATCAGGAGCATGAAGCGCTGGGTGATCCAGCCATGGCCGTGCACCTGGCGAGGTTTTTCGACTTGGGGGGTTTGCCTGGAGCGCCGCGTTACTGTTCAGTTGCGCAGGCTCATGAAGGATTAACGAAACCACTACCCCAATATGTTTCCAACAATGATTGCATCCTGAAACACAGCCGAGAGACTCCACATTACTTGGACTGCAGTCACTTGGTCCTGCCAGGGAAGCACTGCCAGACATCTTGAAGACTTCAGTACTTGAAACATGTGGAGGTAAGCACCTTTTCGGATGTTTGAGGCGTGCAGCTGCCCGGTCCGACTCCGAAGTGTGTGACAAGCTGGAGACGAGCTCGGCCTCCCAAAGCTGGCCACTGCAAACAACCCTGTGTGGGCCGCAAAGCGTTGCAAAGCATTCAAACGAAGTCAAGAAGCATGGCTCAGCTCAATCCAATTTCCTGGATAATCCTGGAATTTTTTGGCGCTGTACTAAGGCTCGACCAAAATAATTGAGGCGTGAAAACTATTCAAGCAAGGCAACTGCCCCAGAGTCAGTGTGGCTGGACGAACAGGTCGTTTTCTGCATGGGGCTCGAGATGGTTTGGTCACTGCCTCAGGCAGACCTATTCAGCCTCCGGGATTCTAAGAAAACAGGGCTGTAGTCTTTGGTGGGATGAGGATAGGGATGCAATCCGGGAGGCTGTCTACCACTCCGCCCTGCAAAGCTATTCTCCGCCGGCGAGTCTTACGGCATGTGGGACTTTCCCAAAATTAGGGGTACCCTTTTGGGGGTCCCCATGATAAGATTATAGTATCTTGGGGTCTATATTGGGGTCCCCCTGTTTTAAGAAACTACTTTTGGCAACTAACCAGGATGCATGCATCTCTTCGCTTGCAAATCTGCCTCTGTACATGCTTCCAAACCTGGGGGCCAAATTCAGGAATTTGTCTGTTCTGCTGTCCTGTCAAGTCGTCTTCAAGGGGTCCTTCTTGTCTTGGAAGCTCAAAAACAACGTGCCCGCTGTGTTCTGGTGAACTGCCAGGTGCACCGTGGAGTGCGCTTCAAGCACCACATGAACTACAGTCAACATTTCCCATATTATAGTCAGTGGACATAAGTTCGTTATGGTTCGTTATTTGGGGCTACACGAATCTACTGCAGGGGAAGGGCTGATATTGACAGTAGCTCACATGAAATCGAAAGCATCTCCAACTGCTAGCTGCCTGCTTGTAACAACGATGATTAGTAATGATTAGAGGGAATAGCTAGATATGATAGTTTCCATAAATAGGGGGACTCCAATATAGACCCCAAAATACTATAGTCCTGATTATAGGGAGCCCCAAAAGGGTACCCATATTTTTGGCGAAGCTACATGAAACTACCATATTCCCAGAAAATCAAAGGAGTGATCTGGCAGCTAGGCCGGAAGCTGGAAGGCCTACGGAGAGTATGAACAGGGAAAGGTGAAACCCCAAAGAGTCCGCAGCAGCCCTTGGCCAGACAAAGGCAGTTGCTGAGTCTCTAAGCAAGCTGGCCTGTGTCACCACCAAACATCCCAATTACTGCGAAACATGCTGCAAAGTGATGCATCTGCGGAAAAACCCTTTCCAAACACTGGCCACCTGGCGCCCAGTAAAACAGCCAGGTATCCTTTCCAGCGCTGCATGTGCACTACAAAATCTCTGCATGTCTTTGCAACGTCCGCCCTACTGAACTTATCTAGCAAGCTTGCCTTAGCTCTTCATCAAAAAGGCAGTGCACTGCATTAGTTGCAGCAAAGGCACCTTCTCTAGGTGCCCCGGTTGGATCCTCCCGGCAGCTTGTCGACGCCTGCAAGCTTGAGAGCTGGCAGCATCATAGAAGTACAGGCCCTGCACATCAAGGTTGCAAATACCGTGATCAAATCGCCAAACTTGCCACCTGGCCTGCGTTTGCATTGGCCTCCTTTTCCATCTCCTGACAGCGGAAAGAAATCTTGCATAGAAAAGTGAGCATCCCATGAATCCATGAAATGCAGCAACTTACAACAGCTTCCGTAAATATCGTTACGTGCGTGAGATGTTTTCACAAGCGCTGCCGCTGTTTTGTGAGCTTTGTGCTCTTGCCAGAAAACGAAACTGGGGAGTGTTGGAGCTGAATGCTTGCATGTTACAGCATGCGAGAAGACGCACCTCGAAATCATGCTCGCTTTCGCAGCTTCTAATTGCAATCCTCGTCACGGGCACGACCTTCACCTCCATTTTGAAAGGATCAAGGATTCATTTTTGTGGCGCCGCGATCGCCTGGATGGGGGCAGCCTGGCCCTTGCTAGCCATTCGGCTGATACGTTGGCGGCCAAAGGCTCACAGCACCCACTCGCAAGAGTTCTCGCGTAAAAACGGTCTTTCGACCATGTGCTAGCGCGTGGGCCGGTTGTCGCATTGGCTTAGGCATGCAGACTCCTGATGCGCCTAGAACCTGCTTGCACTTGTGTCTATATGTTGTTAGGATTTGGAAGGATTGGCCTTACAACGCAAGCCGTGGCGCAGCCCAAGCTACCACAGGCGTGGTAGGTTTTGTGGCGTCACCGCTGTGTGTGGCGAGCCGTTACAGTAGGGCTCCTAGTTGGCCCTGCACTTCAGCGGTAGCCGCCGAGCATTCGGAGATTCCTGCGGAAAGCCAATATTAAGATGAGCCAAAACCTCAGTCAGCCGGGTGTACCCAAGGAACCGTTTGGCCATGGCTGCATCTTGCGATTGCAGGCTTTCTTGCCTGTATCAGTCGAAAGGAGGACGTTTTGATCGCGCTAGAAGCTTGCATCCTCCATTCCCATATCACAGAGGCTCCCCCTCTGCAAGGATTGGCTTGGCCTCCACTTTTGCCCTGGAATAGCAGCTTCCTGCTACATCTAAGACTGTGGTTGGGGTTGGCAAATGTTCCTGTCTGCGGCAGCAAACTAGCTTGCGTCTCTGATGCTCCGGTAAGTGTCCCTGGTCCCTGTAGTTGTTGCTGATGAGCAATCCCTATGCCAGCTTGGTTTCCTTCCGCCATACAGGTCAGGTTTGTCCAACGCTTCGTCACTGGATGGAGGGCACCATCCGTCGCCACACCCTGTTTCAGCCCCTGTGCAAACTTCACCTTCCCAGCTCTCTCTGATGAGCAGATGCTCTTCTTGCTTGAGCTCATTAGGTACATGGGGGTCAGCAGCCCTTGAGCATGAATGAACCCCTCGGCCGGGGCCTGCTCCAAACGTTCCCAAATGGCACCGTTGCGACTGCGTAGAGCCTGAGGACCGTGCAGCAGTACACGTCATGTTCCAACCAAGCAGGTGACCGTGTCGCGGCCCCGTGTCTACGACGTATCTTATCTGTGCAAGTTTCAATGTTCAGGGTCTCAGTAATTTTCAGCCAGGCAGGGTCTGACTGAGCCTTGTAGACTTCCTCATTGTACACCTTTCCCAACACCTGAACAGCACAGAAACATGACGTTGAGCTGAGCTTCATTTAGCGTTCAATTGCTGACTCAGTGGGTCTAGGATAGCACCGAAGTTTGATGCTGAAGAACCCTGCTTGCCACAGTTTCTACACATTCATTCGCTGGCTCAAGTCCCAGGTCGCGCCTTTCTGCAGGGGCCTCAGCGCTGAGCCAATTCACTACCAAGCAATGCCATAGTTGCATAGGACTTCGAGAAATTGAAAGCTAGGGGCGTGTGGCCCATGCACAACACAAGCATGGTTGGCAGCCTCGAGCTGGGGAGCGGACAGTTTTTTCCTCGCTTGACCCAGACAGGGAGGTATTTGTCGGCACATTTGCATTCTTTGGTGAACGTGTTTGCCTGATCGGAGTCTTTCGCAAAACATTGAACTTTGCTTGTCAACCAGCGCTTCAATGCCTTGTTAAGGCTGCCTAAAGGCTTCTTGCAGCATTCAACGTCTACTACAGAAGATTGCTCCCACCAGGTAGCTGGCTAGCCACCAAACACGAGCGGCTCCTATTAGCTTGGGGGGTTTGGAAGGGGCAGACTCAGCTTCCCACTCCACCACAGTTGCATTTTGGCATCTGCGTTGGCCGAAAAAGCTTAGGATCACAGCGGCAAACCTCGGCAGCACTTGCAGGCAACAACGGGCTGTGCTATGGCTTTGTCCTCTCTGGCACTGCTGTAGCCACTTCTCGTCACTTTTCCTTTCTATTGCTGTGGTTTTGCTGCTGGTGCTGCACCAGGTACTCCTTACTAATATTCCCAGTGCTGCTCCCTACGCCATCACCACCCACGCCACCGCCACTGCCACCACCCCCGCCACCGCCACCACCCCTGCCATCACCCCCCAACACCGCTACCACCGCACCCCTGCACCTGCACCCACACCCGCCAGCAATGTTCTTCCTGCCATCGCAGCAAATGCGAAGCACGTGATGTGGATATCAAAACAACTTCCAGAGCATTCATTCCAGGCCGCAGACGCCTTCTCCTTCCACACGCTGCCGCCTGCACAAGTAAACGAGTCTTCTAATTTTCCATCTCTCCGCATCCCTCCTTCTTTGTAAAAGCATGATATGAATTAATATGAAAGGACCTCATGTTGCAGCTTGCCTACCTCGAGCGGACAGCGTTATCCTTAAGACATCGGGTATTGTTGCAAACGTGATATTCATGTCGCCGAAAGGGGACCCCGAAGCGCCTCGGCGCGAGAAGGTATCCCTTGCTTGCCGCATCCTTTGCAGCTGCAAGTACGCCTGCAGCTAGGATGAGCCTTATGGACTTGCGGATTATTGGTAATCACCTAAGCTCCACAGTACTATCAAATGATGGGTTCAAGGGCCTGGAAATTCTGAAGGGCGCTTTTAAACGGGGAACACTACTTTCAAAAGAGGCCACCTGATAATGAATTAGGCGTGGGGGGTTATGACGCTATGAGGGGGATATAATGAGAAATCCAAAGGAATTGGAAATCACCTTGAGGTACTAGGTTTTTTACTATGTTCAGAAAGTTTTCCAATGAAGGAAATTCTATAAAAATCTGAATGCAAGTTTGAAAGATTCTATTGTGGTGGAAGTCGTTGTTAGATGGATTCACATTAGATGTCAATTGGTCTTAATGAAGTTCTAATCCCATTCTCATTTATTTTTTATTTAATTAGATATCAATTCATCTCAACTCGTTTTTAGGTAAATTTCAGTTGAAAGGATTTAAGAGTGTTCTTAGATGCAGCCCTACATAACATGATGCTTTGAAGAAACTCCCCCACCCTTTCCCCAAACATTAAACACTGCTTTAGGCCCGGATATTTCATACTGGGGAGGGGGGGGGGGTTGTTTAATGTCTGGCAGGGGGGAAGCGATTATCATGGACTGCACAGTTGAACAGCCCTAATCCTACATAATCCCTGTTTCCATTTCATTTTCAATTGCGCATTATCTTTTCCACTTTGAAGGGACCACAGTTTCCATTTCATGTGTCAGGTTCTTGTCCATTTTCTTTTCCATTGTTATATCTCCGTTTCAAGGGACCCAAGGTTTCCATTTCATTTTCCATTTTCTTGTCCATGTGATTTTCCATTCTTGCCTACTGCCTAAACCCTAAACCCTAAGCCTCTAAACCCTATTTATTTTGATTTTCCCTTTTTGGCTCTCCGTGCCCAGCATGGCTGGCCTGCTGGATTCGCGGCAGCTGACCGGACCTGGTAAGGCAGAAAGCCTATATTGGGAATGTATAGGGACAATGGAAAACCAAATGGAAACAACTGCGTTAAGGTCTGTATTGGGAGTATAGGGGATATCAGGATATGGCAGTTTCCCTAAATAGGGGAACCCCAATATAGCCCCACATGTATCATAATGTATCATACTCCTTCCTACTGGGACCTCATCATTGGCACTCTTAATCTCAGGACGCCCTCATATCCAGCTGCATAAACGCAGCTTCTAAAATTGCTCCGACGTTTGAAATGCTACTCCAGAACCTTCAAATCTGTGGCGAGTGACCGATCCACGTGTTGTAGACCTCGGACTGCGCAGCAGCGTCCGCATGTTCAGAAGGTGCTCTTACAGTGATGTTCTGCATATCCGCTTCTGAAAACACTGCTGGAATAGCCAGTTCACGGCTGAGGTGAGGTATGCGCTGATTTCTTCGGCTGAATTCTATTTCGATCCGGAGCTTCCGGCTAGACCGGCGCTGCATTAGCAGAGTCAGCTCCCAGTTCGACCCGAATTAGGCTGGGACAAGCTGCACATTGGGCAACTATCGCCATGCCTTAACGGCAGCTGAAGGGCATGTAGGGATCCACGAAATAATCTGTGGCCAGCAATCACCTACGCTCTTTGGCAGGTGGACAGTAGCTTATGACTTTAGCCAATCACTGGCACTGCCGTTGGGGTCCCTCGGTTACCCTGGACTGCAACCTGCGGTAATTGATTCAATGAAGCTACATACCTTCATCAGCCACTGCGCTGCTAAGCAGACCCTCTGCATTCGCGAAAGAGAGGCAGAAACATGTCGCACGGCCAGCTGCATGACAGGTTTAAAATAAGCTGCGGGCATCGCATGGTATTGAATATTGCCGGCTTGTGCGAGCGCCTTCCGATTTTGCGAGCAATGACGCCTACCGTCAAAAGCCGTATCCAAGACCGAGAATCAAAGCACGGGCCGTCTGCTTCGCAGATTAGCATGCCTTCTTCTCAGCCTTCTGTGCCAAGGGGGACTCATCTGTTTGTAGATGGGAAACATACCCCCCGTTACTACATCATCTCAAGATCACACTGCAGCATGTGGCACAAACGCAAATTCAACTCTCGTGAAGTTGATAAGACCTAAGAGACATGGATGTTGTTCTAAATTCTAGT